TAGTGTTGCTCAGGTCGTTAACCCAATGCATTTTTTTGGAAAATAGGGACGTTTGATATAGGGTAATTGAACAGTTAAGTAACTACATGAATTATTATTGGTTACTCGACTATTCTATAGTCCCCAGGGGCAGGGATGGCAGTCAGTGCACTCTGGCCCCACTCTTGGGAAGACCCCTGCCACCCCACATTGCTGCCTCTGTATCAGAGGCAGGAACTGCTGCCACCCTTCACTGCTGCCTGTGTATCAGAGGCAGGAGTGTGGGGTGCCAGGTGGATCCAGTCCACAAGGGGAGCCAGTTTAAAAAACAGCTCCCCACGCAGACTGGTTGCCTGGCACCCTGCACTGCTCTTTCTGAAACGCAGGCAGCAGTGGAGGGTGGCAGCAGCTCCTGTCTGCAAGGGGTCTGAGCTTCCTGCCGACAAAGGCTGCTCCGCCTCCCATCGAGCAGCCACTGTCCATGGGGAGGAGGAGTCCGAGCTCCTTGCAGACAGGGGCTGCTGCTAGGGACCAGCCTCTGTTCGCAGCAGGCCCAGGCTTGCCACAGACAGAGGCTGCTCCGTAGGAGGCAGAGCAGACTCTAGCCACAGGGAGATTGGGCCCGCTGCACAGAGGCTGCTTCACACAGCTTCCTCCCCACCCTGTGCTATTGCCTCTATCAGACAAACACACGGACAGAAACTCTCTTAAATATACAGTAGATATTAAACATCCACATCTCATAATACTTTAATCAGTAAGAATAAATTCAAATGGTCTTGAAATGTAAATAAATTGCATGAAAAAGTCTGTATTAATAAAGTATAGTTAATATATTTAAATCAGCTACTTGCTATATATTGAGTTTGTGTGTTTGTTCAAGAACTCCTCCTAAGCAGTAAAAGCTAGAACCACCAAATTTGTTATACAGCTTCTTTTTATCATAACTTAAAGCAAGGTAAGGGTTTGGTTGTGCCAGGAAAATAGGATGTGCCTGGAATGGGATTGTTTCTCATAAAACCATAGAGTAAAAACAGAATCACTAGGTAGGTCAAAGGAGTTGGCTGGGGGCACCCCCCATCCTAGTCTGCCCAAGCCCTGAGCCTCCCACTTCCTGGCAAATTTTAGGGAAAAGGGGGGGCTCCCCCCTCTTCATATGGGAACACTGCTGTCTGTTCACCTTCATCAGGAAGTGAGGGGAAAGTGCAGAGTTTGCTGCATTCCTCACTCTGGCTGGGGAGCACAAGGAGCAGATGAACCTGAATCTACCCCTTCTGAGGGACATGCACCCCTCTCCCAGATGTGCCCACTGGAGCTTCAGCAGCCATGAAGAAGCACTTCTCAGCTGGCCTCAAGCTGCTGTGGTGCAAGAGGGTAGGGGTTGTCCTCTGTCTCCGAGGTAGCCTGAATACTGTACAGCCTCTCATCCCCAGACCCACCCCAAAGCAAGGATTTAAATGAAGCATATACATTTTCATTTCATTTTCCAAAAAACAAAGTTAAGGATTCGAACAACTCTGGGTAAATCTTCTAGTTGTTAATATATTAACAGCAGGTTTTATTTGATTAAACTAAACTAGAACAATTTAGTGCTTATATTCAATATTGTTAAATACATCAACTTTTCCTTAATGACCCATTAAAGTCTTGCTCTCAGTTTTGTAAATTAACTAAAAATAGATTGAGGAAATAGGTAAAATGTACAGTAAAACTCCGATGGCCCGGCATCTGATGGTCCGGCACTCCTGATGGTCCGGTACCATCAGGAACCTGGAATTGCTCCGGGCAGCTGGACCATAGGAGCTGCTCTGCCCCCAGCTTCCTCGATTCAGCCGCTGCTAAAACTGACCAGCAGCTGAATCGGGGAAGCTGGGAGCAGAGCAGCTGGAGTGCTGCCGGGTAGGTCCTGTAGCACTGCCCTTCGGGGCTGTGGGACCAACCCGGCAGCACCCCAGCTGTCCCCGATTCAGAAGCTGCTGAAACTGACCAGCGGCTAGCTCCAGGAAGCCAGGGGCAGATCAACTCTTTAAATCTTTAAATTAATCTTTAAATCCTGAAAACTCCAGGGCAATCCTTGAGGATTAGTAACCCATCATACTACATAACATGCCCACACACTGACACACTGAAAGCCTGTGGCTGAGCTGGGAACTGTTTCCATTAGGTCTCCCAAGTCCTGGTCCAGTACCGTATTTTCCGGCGTATAAGACGACTTTTGATGTTAAAAAACATCCCCCAAAAATCGGGGGTCGTCTTATACGCC